ATACATCAGGCTCATATCCAGTAGAGCACCAGATTTGTACCAAGTACATACCCTGTCAGTACAGGGTAACAAGTCACTTTGTAAAACAGCCCAGACCCATAAGTCTCGGGTACATTCCCAGTATGAACCTGGTATGTGACCAGTATGTACCAAGTCAGGGACCAGGTATGTTCCAGGTACATTCCCTGAAGGTTCAGAGTAATACATCTCTGCATAATACAGTCTGATCCCAGTTGGTACAATTCTGTTAATCCCCGTTATGTCCCACGTAAATCCTGTGAGACTGTGACAAATTATGACAAACGATCGCTACACCTCCGTCTGCAACTGTTGTGGGGAAATAGTTAAAAAAAAAGTTCCAACTTCATTCACACATCTGCAGCTGTAAAGTTGAATTATTATTATTTTTTTACTTCATCAATCCACTAAAGTAATTTTACAAATGGGCTTCCTAAAAACATTTACAGTGAAAGGTTAACAGGGTTAATTAATTTGCTTCTGAGATATCTTGATTTAATTTTCTCTCGGAGTTCTTGGACTTCCAAATACTCAACTAAAAAAAACATTCCCATTACTGGTAATTTCTTGATTTTATAGGAGCTAAGAATGGTTGCAAAGGAAACCATTAAGTCCATCTTTGAAGGTATTCATGATTGAGAATTTAAAAAGGGTGGGCAGGATTTTAGAGGCTGGTGATTGTTGACACAAGATTTGAGGAGTTAAGGGTATTTAAAAAGCTTTAAAATGAGCTTCGGCTGGTTTGTTGTGACAGTTACTGAGCAGATCACCGTCTTAGCGAGGTGAAAATATAAAAAACTTTCAGCCAGATCTATCATGCTGCACATTTACATGCAAGTGTTTAATCTAAAATGCAGATTGCTTTATTGCATCTTCGACTTTACGCATTTTGGAGGTCAGTTCCACTTTTTCTTGCATCTAATTATTCGTAAGAGAAGTTTTGATTTGGATCACCAAAACCTTTGCACGACTCTATCCTTGTCCTGGAGACAACAGTAACCTGGAATAAACTCTGGAGCACCAAGTAGTATTAATAAAATCACTTGAGTGTGTTGTTATCTAAAAAAAATACTTCTTTAAAGTTTTTTGCAATTGCTTTTAGCTATTTTGAAATGCTGCCTGTAAAAAGAAAAATTTAAAGCACCGCTTGCAAACAGAAAAGAAGAAATCTCTCTTGACGTTTCCGTCACAACTCAAACATTTCTTTGTTTATCGTGGGAGATGCAGCCGCCGTTCTCCATCGTTCCTCTCCGCCTTTCCTCCCTCGAGGCTTTAAGCTCAACGCACTGAGCTGGAGAGTTTAAACTTGTTTTGATTCCTGTCATGTCCAGGGCAAACTTACCAACCGCAACACCCACACTCCCTGAAACTTTCAACGCCACCCAGTCCAGCGTTCTGTTCTCAACTGTGAACAAAATACTCTGAAGCTCAAACACTAAACAGAAAATCACTGTGGTAACTGTGACTGAGTTTGTCTTTCACTGTGCCAACGCAAAACATTGGATATTACATTTCCCTGCATCATCCATTATGAGCAGTCATTATGTCATTTTCAGGCTCGGTTTTCCAGGAGTGAACACACCGCTTTGCTTTAAGTCAGGCAAGAAATTCAATAAGATCTCTGTAGGATTGCTACACGGACTGTTCCTACGTGTATCGATGCTGACAAAAGCATCTGCGATGTGTTAAAAGCTGTATGTGCGTGCGCACGGGAACTTTCAGGTGACCCTTGCAGTGATGGGGATCGCCGCGGTAAAGTAGGATCTACTCCAACAAAAGTCTGTGACACTTCGTTTAGACCCTGATGAGAGTGTCATCGATGAAGTTTGGAATACCAGGTGCAGGAGTCCCAGAGGGTCCTGGTGTAAGAACCAGAACTCAGCGCACACCGGTTAGAGTTCCCAAACAGTTCCCTGTTGAGTCATGGCCCCTTGAAAGAGTATTTATAGATTTATATGACGTGCTGGTCATAACAAATAATTGCTGACTTCCTTTTTCAACATATGGACAAAGAAATGACAGGAGTGCACTGTGGGAACAAAATGATGCAACGTTATACTGACTTTCTTTTCACCACTGTGCTTAGCAGTTGTAAAAAAAAAAACTTTATTCAAACCTGGACACTTATCAGTTGTTGTGTAACAAACAGGGTTGACAATTAATGCTACAGTTTCAAGCAACGATCTTGCACAATGATTTTAAGCTACTATCACAACAAATTGTAGCTCAATATCTGTAGAATTTACCAAATTAGACATTTTTTGTGTTTTCTTAAGTCAGCTGGTTGTAGCAGCAAATGTGAATAGTTGTTACCAAAAATTAACCAATAGTAGAGGTAGATTTAATCATTACAGTAGTCCCCTCGATACTTCGTGGTTCGACTTTTGTGGACTCGCTATCGCACTTTGTCAATGCACATTAACATTTTAAAAATATATATACAGGGCACATGATTGTCAACTTTAATATCACTCACGTAATTGGGACAGTACTGGATACAGTACTGTACAGTAAAAAGTTAATGAAAATATAAAATACTTCGCACAGGCACGGTCATTTTGTAGTTTTCTCTCAGTAAGCTTCCACTGTGTTCCCGCTCATGACAACCACATTTCCCAGAAGCCAGCAGGGCCCCGCCCAGAAACCAACAGGGCCCCACCCAGAAACCAACAGGGCCCCACCCAGAAACCAACAGGACCCCACCCAGAAACCAACAGGACCCCACCCAGAAACCAACAGGACCCCACCCAGAAACCAACAGGGCCCCGCCTAGAAGCCAACAGGGCCCCACCCAGAAGCCCCGTTTCTTTCTGCTGAATTACGTAGAGGGTAAGTTTTGATCTGATCGGAAAAAGTTCAGTGGTTATTACAATGATTTTGGTGCCCAGCGAATGCAGAGAGCCACACAGAACCCACCGAACTGGACCAGAACCAGACCCATCGGTGAATCTTGAGAGCTGGTAGCCAGCCCACGAGGACTTCCAAGCGGGGATGCATGCCACCAGTGGTTGTTTACGGAGCCCTCTGGGACATTTTTCATCCAGATTTGGACTCAGTTGACCACCTATGGTCCCGCGCTGGCCAATCGAAGGTCTGCCCTCCGAAAGGTCTGCCCCCCAGCCCCCAAAATGTGCTTCAGCACTCAAGCTTCCTTAGATAGAGAACTTTAGTAATTGGCTTTTCTATGTATGCAAATGTTAAAGTGCCCTGACAACTTTGTTGTGATTTGGTGCAACATAAATAAACTGAATTGAATTGAAAAGGTCTGCACTGAACCCAAGGTCTGCACCCTGGTCTCCAAAATGCACTTTGGCACTCAAGGTCTGCACTGAACCGGACCAGAACTGGACCCCCAAACTCAGCAGTGAACCCAAGAGCTCCTAGCCAGCCCACGAGGACTTTCAAGCGGGACACGTGCTACCGAAGGTCCGGCACTCCTTCTGGAGCCCACCGGGACTTTTTTCATCTTTTTCAATGAGGACCTCCAAGCGGGGACATGCTGCTGAATAACATTTATTAGCTACATATAAGTATCTTGTTAAAAATTAGTAGGTTTAAGAATTTAGAACATTGATTGTGGACTTCATCGCTGCAGGGTAGGTCTGCTGAAATGGAACCGAGTCGGGCCAAAATCAAGAGCTGTTGCTGTTCTGCAGATCTGGTAAGTAAAATTACAAAGCCATATATACAATACTGTACATATGTTGTTAAAATATTATAAGTTTAAGAGTTTAGAACATTGCAAGAGTGGGAAAGGTTTCTAAAGTTTATATATATATATATATATATACTACAATAAATATAACATTGCTACTTCGTGAGGGACTACTATATCTCCTTAAGAGCTTGCACAATGAGTAGTACTTGGAGTATGGGTTCCAATTTTTCCCCAAAAAATACCACACCATATTTTAGGTGAATATCTGTAAAAATGTCCAAGTTATACATATGTTTGTGTTTACTATGGTGGCCATCTTGAATGGGGTTGACTCCAACACATAATGAGTTGTAGATGCACATCCAGCTATTTCTTTCTGAGAGTTTCATTAAATTTGTTCACAAGTTCCTGAAACATTCGAGACACTCACATTGAATTAGCAGTCCTGTTTGGATTAGCTCTTGGCTCAGTCAGAATTTACAGATATTTCTCCAAACTGAGGCCGTTTTTAATCTGAATAGATGAATAGTTCCAATCTCTCCACAAAAGCCTACTTAAAATAAGAATCCCGCTCCCAAACGTTTGTTTAGGATTCCTCCTTTGAACTCGCACGATGAGACGGGAAAATGTGTCGTTTTGGTTTTGAGCAGCACAGCCTTCGTGTTGATCGCAAAGCGAGAGAGTTTTCTAAAAGGCAGACACTTTTAGTGGCTT